TTGAGGCCAAAGCTGTGTCCTTCAGCCTCTGCACAGAGCTCCAACTCCCCCACCACCTGTGGCTGAGCAACCTCCTGCTGCCCTTGAAGACGACTTCTTCATTGCACTCTCCCCTGGCAGGTGGCCCCAGCACAGACATACACAGTATGCCTGCCCCCCAGCACCAGCCCAGTGAGTCACGGGGGAGGACAGCTGCCCAAAGCCTCTTCAGGACCCTCACCAACTGCTGGAGCCCAGAAGAGTGGCCAAGGGTGGGGAGGGGGCACATCAGCACCAATCCCTCGCTGACACTGAAACCATTATCCATGGAGAAAACGCCCAAATTTCCCTCTGTAGAAGGGCAGCAAGCAGCTCGGCTGGGGCCAGTTCCCACCAGGCCCGGCTGCGTTCAACAGTTTAATCAATTAGTGAGATGCAGCCTCGGTGTCAGCTGCAGCACTAATGAGGGTTCCCCACCCCCACCCGTGGGACTCGCAGCCCGCTCTGGTGCAAGGCAGGTCCTGCCCGGCAGACACAGCCTGAAGAGTGGGTCTGGAAGCCTGGTCCTGTGGCTGTGCTGGATGGCTGGTCATGGTGCTTGGCCATCCCTGCAGCTTTACTTCCAGACCCACCTCGGCTTTAGGCAGGTCTTCCCCTTGGGGCCGAGCCCACATGACAGCTAGGAAGGATGAAGCCTCACTTTGTGGACAAGGACACAGAATTCCTGAGGAGCCCAGGTCACAGGGAGGCAAGGTGAGCCAGGACCCTCCCTGCCACCCAGCATGCCCACTGCTTCCATGTCAGGTACACATATGTCACCCACACTCAAGTCACACATATGTACACTGGAAGGAGGAAAAGGAGGTGAGCACCCCTCACACACCTGCCCTCCAGCGGCAGTCTGCACAAAGCCATCTTCCACTTCCCAGCTGTGATAAAAGTATGAGCAAAAGCACAGAACCAGCATTTCACACACACTTTTAGAGGTTGTGGGTACCTGGGCCAGTGGGTACCCCCCAGCCTGCCTAGCCCCACAGTGAGAAGGTTTGCGGACAGGTTAGTGTCCAGTGACTGCTGTGACCAGTCACCACCACCTCAGCAGCCCCACAGCACAGCATCCTGTTGTACACCTGGAGACAGAAGTCTGACACAGGTGGAGGTGGCCAGAGACAGGTATGGAGGGCCACGTCCTGTGTCTGTGCCTTTGGCATCTTCTGGAGGCACTTGTGCTGCACTCTTGGGCCCATGGCTCTCTCTGGTTCTCTCAACACTGCATCTCTCTAGGCCTCCCTGCCTTCCTCTTCTATTCTACAGGACCCTGTGATCATGTGCGGCCCACAAGGGATGCAGAATCATCATCCACCTAATAAGCAGCAGTCACTCCCCTCTGCTGTGAGGCTCTGGGGATTAGGAGAGGATAAGCAGGATGGAGCAGACAGTAGAGAAGATCCAGGTCACAGACATGGAAACATGGTCACTGGGAATCAGAGAAAAGCACATCTCCAATGGGAGACCTCCCAGTGAGCAAGCATTCTTCTTAGACCTGACAGCAAAAAACAGAGGAGTCGCTGCAAATCTAGAAAACAGCGAAGGGCTGCACCTCTTTCCCCAGCCACCTCTTTCCCTAGTGTATTTGCACTCCCAAGTAGACCCCAAAAGCAAAGAGTGGGAGGTGGCAGAGCCAGTCACATGGTCCAGGGTGGGGGAGGACTGTCGGTGGCAACACTGAGGACTTGTCAGCCTCGGCCCGGCCCAGAAGCCAGGCCAACTTGACTGGCACAGGAATAGCTGATGTGGCCAGAGCAGGTGACCTGCCATGAGAATCACTGGTCCAGCTGCCTCGGCCCCTAGGGCAAGACAAGGTTGCTCCTGCCTTAACAAGACCCACAGCCCACAATTGCATAGGCAGCTCCAGAGTCCAGCTCAGCTTTCAGGCCAATGGCATGTGTATTCTACGTATTTCTTTTGGAAAAGCCATGGCCCTTGCAGGGCTGAAGGTCCTTGCTTCTCCCTGCCCCTGGTAGTGGCCACACAGACCACCTCAGAGCCCATGCTAGGCTCAGCACAGTGTTGTTCTGAGGGGTTTGGACCTTGCCCTCCACACACCAGCCCCATGGGCCACTTGGGGTCTCTGCAGGACATGCTTACCCTTTCCTGGTTCCCACTGAACCTCCCTGTGATGCCCAGCTCAGCCAGCACAGGTAATCTGAATCCTGGGATCCCCGCTACCCACACTCTCCATCCCCACCTCTTCCCCTTCTTTGCCTTCTAGGATTCACTCATCAGCAGGCTCAAAGGTGACAGCCACCCATCTGCCCCCAGGAGGGCAGGTCTTCATGCTGAGCAACCCCAGGCATCCTGCCCCAGCTCATGCCCCTGGAGCCAGCTCCACATGGAGCCATCAAGGACAGGAGCAGGATTCCTATACCAATGGCTCAGGCTCCCTGAACCCAGTGCACCACATAGCCAATGTGGGAGGTGGCCCTGCCTGCAATTGTCCTACCTAGTTCCTCTGGGCAGGAAACAGGGCCCATGACATGACCAAGGATGTGGCCTACAGGGATCTGAACCCTTGGGACATCCAGTAAACAGAAAGAGTCCAGGTCCACCATCTACATACATCCCCTGCCCAGAGGGATCCTGGGGGGTTGAGGAGGGGCTGCCCCAGAGTCCCTGTGAGGAGGACGCAGCCTGGAATCTCCCCAGGACCAAGCTGCTCAAGCCAAGCTCCTCTGCCCCAGGATCATGGTAAGGTGTCCAGGGCCTCCAAGAAGCCTCAGGCCTGAGCCAGCTGCATGCCTACTCCAGGAGGGATATGCCTGAGCTGGGCAGCAAGTGAGGCTTGGCTCCACACATAGGAGAGAAGAGGAAGTAAAATAATCACCGTAGCCTCTGCTGTTTCCTGCAGCAGGACAGCTCAGATGCAGGGGAGGAGATGGTGGAGGCAGAAGCAGGGGTCAGGGAATAGAGCCGGGAGTCAGGGGAGCTGAGGGGAGGCAGAACATCTGCAGTGTAGCTGGGGACAGGGTGGGATCTGCTGCTGGATGGAGAATGACTCCCGTCCCCGTTGATGACTGTGTAAGCTTCAAGCAGCACCCAAGGAAGCAGTTCAGCCCCAGAAGGGAGCAGGTGGCATGGCAAAGGCCACTGGGGGTCCACCTACAGGTTCCCTGGAGTCCCTCCAGGGGTGGTTCCAAGGGTAGCTCCCTGGAGTGGCTTCCCCAGAGGAGCTGGGTGAAGGACAGCAGTTGTTGGATGAGATGGAAAGTAAGTGGCAGGCAGCAGAAACAACCTGTTGGATACGTGGATTCCCTGGCTCCTCCCTGACTCCAGGAGTCAAGGCCACAGAAGACACCAATCTTCACCAATCCGTGGGGCTGGCACCACCCATGGCCTCCTGGACCCCATGCTCAACCCCAGCCTGGCCTCAAGGAGAGTCCTTCCTCCCATCCAAGTCCTGCCCTCTCCTGACCCATGGGAGAGCTGAACCCCTGGGATCCCATGGAGTGCCTGCCATCCACCAGTCTCCCAGGGGACCCTAACCTCCCTATAAGGACCTGCCATTCCTGCTCCACAGTTTCCTCTCCAACACCATTGGAGCCACAGGGAAAGCAGGAACCAAGAGGGCTTCAGGTCCCTCCACTAGGGGCTGGCCCCTCTGGGCTATGACCTGTCCAGCTGGCACAGCGTCATAATCACCAGCCACACTGGGGCTTGGCCCATCACAAACCCTCCTGCCTCATGCCCTTGCCACAAGCAGCTGCTTCGTTGTAACGTGTGGGAGCCTGCAGACCTGGGCTGGCACAAGCTTAGCTGGTACACACCTGACCTTGTACAGCCTTAAGCTGATACACACTCGAGCCGGCACCTACCTGAACTGATGACCTGTCCCTCCCAAGGCCAAACAGTATGCCCAGTATAAGGCTGGCACGGTGTTCAGCAGCTACCCCAGCCTCTCTCTCATCCTTCCCTGGACTCAACCTCTGACAGGAGGAACTGTCTGATTCACAAATGAGCAGGTGGGGTATGGTTACTTCCCAGTCCCAGGATTCCCTCCTATGGAGTAAATAGCTCCCAGCCCATTTCATGTCTGTCTATAACCTCTGCATGCGACTTCAGCTAGAAATGGGATCTTTGCCAGTCTGACGAAGTTAAGACAAGGTCTTAGAGTAGGCCCTGACTTGGATTGTGTCGTTATAAGAAGAGAGAAATGTGGACATGGGCACACTAGGGAGGAGTCCTGGGATGTGGAGACAGACTGGAATGATTCGTTGCAAGCCAGGACACCTGGGGCCACCAGAAGCTGGACAGAGCCACCAGGGGAAGCACGGCCCTGCCACACACTGATTTTGGATTCTGGCTTCCAAAACTGTGAGAGAATAAATATCTACTCCTTGAGGTGCTGCATGTATGGCGACTTGTTAAAATAGCCTCAAAAACCTAATACCCTCAGAGATCATGGGGGCCACTGACCCCAGCTCAGACCAGGTCTTTGCTGTCCCCAGACTTGCTGTAGGCTTGGGCATTTGGGGGATGCTGGAGCCAAAGAGCAAGATCTGGGTTAACAGATCTGAAGGGGAATGATTCCTGGGAGTGGGAAGTAACCACTGAGGGGACAGTGATCAGCGGGAACAAGGCAGGAAGAGTGCAGGAGAGGACAGGCAGCAGCCTCTGGATGTATCCATCAGGGGCCCCCCAGGCTCAGGAAGGAAAGGCCTGAGTGGATATCCTGCTGACCCAGTGGAGAGAGACCCCACTGTGGTCAGGCCTTGCAGCTTGGGAAGCCCACAGCACCTGAGCTTCTTCAAAAAACAAAAACAAAACAAGATAGTAACAAAAGAGACACACATATTTGGCCCCATAAATTCTGGTCACAAGAATAACAACTGAATGGTACGCAGGTTTCACAAAGCCTCACTGGCCACCCTTCTCACCCCAACCTGCCACCTCACTAACACCCCAAGCCCGTACACTGGCTTAGAATGGTTTTAAAACAGCATTAAATGGCACACCAAAGCATCTTCAGACACAGGAATATTTCCTATGGATATTCTTTTTTACAAAAAAATAATAACTTAGTTTGCATTTTACAGCATTTCCAATCAATCAGTCAGGATGTCCGTGGCTGGGATCTTGTGGGGTCAGAGCAGCATGTACCTCCACAGCCAGAGCACTGGGTCAGAACACTACCTGGCCCACAGCCCCCCAGTGGCCAGCAGGAGCTCATCAGGAGAAGGTGGGCAGCATCCAGGCCCCATGGTCACTCCATGCCAATCTCACAGGGGTTCAGCCCCCTCTCCTCCGCATCCCTGTACATCTTTTGGAAGTCACTGAAGCGAGGGGCACAGCCAAGCTGCGCCTCCCCAAAGTGCATATGGCCAGTGAAGAGGAAGTCCCCATGCCCTGGCCGCACGCCACACTCCAGTAGTGTTGTGACGTGGCCCTGCCAGTGCCCACTGCCCTCAGGAGCTGGCTGGAAGACCCGGCTTTTCTGCCGATAGAGCCTGCTCACCCGCAGGTGGATGACAGACTCCCGGCGTTCTGGTGCGTGGATGACGTCCTGGATGGAGCCTCGGACAACTGCAGAGGAGAGAGACACAGGGTCAGTGGAGTCCAGTGGGCACTGCCTGCCAAGGACATACACATAGCATATGTCTCCCTGTGTATGGCCCCAGCTTTCCAGGTGATAACAAGAAAATATGAAAGTCAATAACAAGATGCTCTGTAGCTCTGTCACATTAGGCAACAGTGCAACTGAGAGGACAGGGTCACATGAGAGGGACAGGGAACGGCTGGTATTGGTGGCTCCAACAGGGTCACACCCAGAGACCCCAGCACAGCTCTAGAGCTCTGGCTAGGGCCCAGAGAGCAGAAAGTAAGGAGTCCAGACCATTATACAGCCCTTGGAGCTGTATCAGAGTCCTCTGTAGGGACTCAGATAGGGACTCAGACTCTGTAGGGACTCTGTAGGGGCACCGGCCCAGGCCTGGTCTAAAGTGGCCACCACCACAGCAACAGGGCAGTGAACACTCTGCTGCAACCCAAGCCTTCCCCTAAGTACGATGCAAACCACAGACAAGGCAGTCTCGTTCCTCACACTATGGCCCTGAGCTCTCCAGGGCTTCAAAACACCAGCCATCAGGGCACCTGAAGAAGGGATGGAAGGGATGCCCCAGGCTGCCCTTGGAGCAGCATTCACAGAGCACTTCCAAGAGAACTGCTGTGCACTGCAGGATTTTCAGAGCACCAGGGGGTAGGCTGCTCAGGAATGACACACAGGACAGTCACCTAGAATATCAACCCTACCTCTCTGTGTGCACGTGTGTGTGTGTGTGTGTGTGTGTGTGTGTGTGTGTGTGCATGTGGGCCTGTGGCAAATGTGTGTGGATGTGGACATATGGGTATGTTTGCATGGGTTTATATGTTGGTTTGCAAGGCACCTTTTCCTGTGATCCAAGGGGAAGGCCACATGCACAGCTCACAGTCCCTTCCCTCACAAGGAAGTTCAATGCCAGCTCTGGAAGGCCCTTTTTCCCTACAAAGCAGGAACCGTGAGCACTCTAGAAAGATGCTGTGAAGGCACACACTCACCGAAGTCACTGGTACAGACGGCAAGGAGGACCTCAGTATCGCTGCAAGGGCGGCAAGGGGCTAAAGAAGAGAGAGCAGGGTCAGTGTACAGCCCAGACAGAGGTGGGCCCTGGATGGTGTACACCTCAATTGTACAGGGTAGTCAACCACGGATCATCCCCAGACTGACACCCTGACCTACACTTGACTCAATCATGCAAAGCTGTGCTCAAACCTCAAAGACAGGTGGCCAATACCACCCCCCACAGTGTTGGAGCACACAACAGAGGCACCCCACAAAGCAAGAGACAGGCCACCAACCCCAACCATGCCAGGTCCCTAAGCCCCACTGAAACCAAAAGAGCTCACAGTGCAGCAGTCACCCTAAAAGCAAGACCAAAGGGACAGGCAGCTGCATACCCACCCCCACTTGTCTTGTTAGCAAAGTTGTGCCAGATAAGCAACAACTCCACTCACTTAAAAATCACTCTTATGTGCCAGACACACATGAAGCCAACCCCAAGTTAAACTGATATGGTCTGTCCCTCACATTCCCCAAAAAACTCACCCACACCCAGCCTCCAAATCCATACCCTGAAAAGCTGGACCACCTCAATGTTGGCAGCTTCCCCAAAAGGAGGCCCTGCCCACAGCATCAAGATGCCTCCTTCTCCAGACCCATCTGCAGCCACAACTGAAGAGGAGGGTCCCATTTTCCAGGACTCAGGGACTACCTAGAAAAACCACCAAGGCCAAGACTCTGCAGGGCAGCTATGTCTGCCTGCCATGGATTTGAGGCCTCTAGTCAAGGCACTGGGCTCAGTCCTCTCCCCAGCTGCACCCAGACACCTTTCCAGCTCAGCCTTGTTCACAGAACCCACTCTAACGCTCCTGTAATTTGGGGGCCTGGCTCCTCCAGAACCCAAGGTGCCAAGTCTGTTCAGAATGAGTTCTTTGCTGGCCAAACCAGGCTTGCACAACACACTTCTCCCGAGATGGCCCTCAGCCTACCCTTCACCCCAGTTCCCCAGATGTGAAACAGAAACTCCAGACCCAGCAGCTTCCTACACACTTCAGTCTTGGTTGGTCTCACTATATCCCAGGGCAAATCTGAGAAAGATTGGTCACACCACTTTCTCTTACCGCACAGCTCAAGGCCTCTGCCTCACCTGGCTGAGTAGTCCACAATTTTAACTCAGTAGAAAGTTGGAGGTGTGAAATCTCAATGAGACAAATTTCCCCTTGGCTGCGCATGTCTGTAAGGTTCTGGCCGGCCCTTGCCTCGGGGTGCTCTGGAAGAGGCTAACACCATCTGCATGTCTGGCCAGCCACCCTCACCACCCTGAGCTGAGTGAGGCGGAGCTGTCATCTGCCTGGCAGCTGCACAGACTCCATCTGAGTGCCAGTGACTTGGTCCCTAGGGGGACAGGGTGGCACACAGGCCAGTGTCTTGGCCATGGCAGTAAATGGCCCCCAGCCTGCACACAGCATTAATGGAGAGTAGAGACCACACCCCAGGGTCTGCAGCCTTGCTGGCTAGGCACGGGTTCTGAGAGCTCTGGCCTCCTGTCCTGTCCCAGCTGTCAGGGACAGACACCTCCCACCACCCCAGGCTGAGCACTTGCTGACTCATGTCCCACCCACCACCTGCCAACACCTCTGCTTCTATTCAGTTATCAGAAAAAGGAGAAGCCACACAACAGGAAGAACCTGTTGGTTCAACTGTCAGCCCATGAGAGGACTGTGCCCCTACCCCAGCTCCAGTCTAGTCTTCCACTGACAGGCAGAGCTCCTCTGACGCCCACCCCACGCCGGCTGACAGAAGCCCCTCTCCTTTCCGCGACGTTTGCTTAGCCACACTGCATCCTTCCCTGTGAGGTTACCTAGTTAGTGAGGGGTCTCCTGCCCAGCTGGGGTGCGGCTTCCATGGCTAGCTGTTCACCATGCTGGGTACCACACAGATTAACACATTAGTCAGATGCCACTGTGTGAAGCCCAGAGCGACAGGCCCAGGAGCACTGTGGGCACTGTGATACTCGTGTTTTGGGTGGCATCTTTATTCAGGACATGAGACTTCAAGGACCCTTTCATCCTGGCTAGTGCCTGCTCAGTGCCACAGGGTTGGAGCCCTGAGCCCAGGGTCCCCCATGCAAGTGGGGGCAGTCCGGGTGACAACAGCATGGGTGAGTGGTCAAGCCCACAGTGGCCACAGCCCACCTGGAAGCTGCAGGGCAGGAAGTCTCTGGGCCACAAGTGCTGAAGCAAAAGGGCAGTGGTCCCCAGGAGGTGCCCAGAGTCAGCTGAGATCACGTGCCCTGTGCCACAGCAGATGTCACAGGCAGATGAGTGAACAGCCCCCAGCATGTTCTAAGACCAGGTCCCAGGCCAGATTATACAGCAGCAGCCACGCCCTCAAGCTTTGCCCTCCCTGAGTCACACACCCTGGAACCTCCACGGGACACTGAGGACAAAGTGTAGAGACCCTCCCCTCACTGGAGCTCAGCTCGCCCTGACTCAGGCCTACCCACCCCCAGAAGGCATGGGCTCTGGAGGGCAGTCTGCAGCCTGAGACCCCCAGGGTCCCTATAAGCCACACCATCAACAGCTGAGCTAACAAAGCACCACCCTGGAGGTGTCTGTCTTCAATTCTGAGCTTCAAAGGGCACAGGTCACCTTCATGGAAAATTCAGTGTGGACTCCAAGGATGGCAATCTGGAAACAATCATTAATCAGAGCTGGGCTTCTTGGGGCTGTGGAATGTGCTGGTCATGCACACATGGCATCAAGTTTCCCAGGGCTGAGGGCGGATACTTTGGAATCACTCAGCAAAGTGCATAAAGCCGAGTGAGGAGAGAGCACGGCATCAGAGGGGCTGTCAGGGAAGGCAAGTGCCAGCAGGGAGGATGGTGGTGCAGTGAGAGTGAGCAAGCAGGAGTGGCTGGACATGAGGAGTCCAAGGCCATGGAAGCTGGCCTGCCCAGCGCACAGTATAGGATGAACAGGTGAGAGCGGCCAGGGAAACACACACAATGGAAGAACTGCTGTTCCAATGGGAGAACTCCCACGGTACAGCAGGGCACCAGGTGGAAGCAGCGAGTCACAGGTGAAGAGGAGCTGGGGCTCCCTGGAAGGCCACACCAGCTGGGAAGCGCCAGGATGTGAGGACCCCTGCACAGCCAGCCTCACCTGCTCTCCAGCCATGTCAGCCTTCCCTCTGCTTCCCAGGCAGAAAGCTGGTGGAGGCTACACCCTCCATGAGAGATGGTAAAGATGAAAGGCAACCACAGGATAATCAGAGCAACCCAAGATAAGTACCCTGAAGTCAGAAATGAAACAACCAGAGAAATGGGAAGCTCAGGGAAGCAGTCTGGCTTCTTTTCCAGTTCTAGGCTTCACTGCCACCCGCAAACTCAGAGGCTCCTGAGGGGATTTGCTAGTGGGGGCTCCACACAGCACAGCTAGCTGGGCTGGTTGCTCAGGCTCAGCAAGCAGAGCAGGTTTTAAAAGGGATGGGGGCGGGGTGGTCAGGGCTGGGGCAGTAGTGATTTCAGTGTCAGCATCCTCTCCTCTCCCCTCCATCATGTGCCTAAAATGCTGCTGTTCCCTCCCCAGGCGCCTGCATGGAGTACCAACCCCAAACCCAGAGCACACAGGGGGCTGTGCCATGAGCACCCAACATGTCATCCTGCGAACTGAAGAACAGAGTAGAATCTGCAGGTCCATCTTGTCTGTGCCTGCTTCCTGCAACTACACAGGGTTCCTCTCCTAGCCAGGGCAAATCTGAGAAAGATTGGTCACACCAATCTTGCTGACCACCCCCATGCCACCGTCTACTAGTGATAATCATTTCCCTGGGGGGCTCAGCCTGGGCAGTTTCCCTGCCACTCCTCAGAGGGAGACAGTCCCACCAGCCCCTTGCCCTGGACTTGCATCAGTAGTTTTTTGTGTGCTGTAGTGGCAGTGTTTGTGTCCTGCCATATTCTTCAGGTGTTGGATGGAATGTGCACTGCTCAAGGGCCTGAGCAAGGCCCAGGGCAGCAGGGATAGGACAGCGCAACCTACTAGGTGGCAACCAAATCCCCATGCCCTGGGCCAGGGTCACCTCCCACCTGGCTCCTGACTTCATCACTGGAGAAGTGGACTGCTTCTCTGCTCTGGTCTTCTCAGCTACTGGTACATCTGGGAAACCAATTATGCCACACACACATGGACTCACAGCCACCTTGCTGTCATGCAGAAGTGTCCAGTGGGGCAGGTCTCCTGGCTATGTGAGGAGTCAGGCTCAAGTGTGCACATGGGCCTAGTAGGCTTCAGCCCACAGAACCTCTGTTCACTTGTGTTGGCACAACCTAGAACCTGTGGCTCATTGGAGAGCTGGGTCACTTCCTAACGTGACCATTCAGGTCACTGTGCACATTCAGCCTGCGCTGCTGGGACTCCTGCAGAACAGGAGACAAGGGCGACCCTGGCGCTGGCCAGAGAGCTCAGAGGCTCCCTGGCCTGGGGAGGACAGTGTGGCTGCTGCCAGATGGCGGGCACCAACATTCCACATTACATACCCATTCCTCAGGCATTAAAGGCTTAGCAGCCCCCATTCCCTGATCAAAGCCAAATGCCCTAGGGAAAGGAGATGAGCCTCCCCAGTCTTTGCTGCCCAAGGCCTTCAGGAAGGGTTCCAGAGGTGCCACTCCTCCAGGGGAGTAGGCATCTGTGCCTCTTTCTGGAGGGTAGAGTCCAGGTCCTGGCTACCGGACCCCCCAGTACATCTGAGGCTCTGTTCTACTCCAAGGTTTGATAGTTCCTGCACAGCTGTGCTGTCTCAGATGAGCCTCTATCATCTGCAAGGTGCTTAGAACCCCTGTAGGCTCAATTCCAACAGGCGCGGCACAGGTGGGATATGTTGTAGAGTAACAAGGGAACCCAAGTGCCTCCTCCAAGATGTGTAGCAAGTCCTGGGCATGGAACTCATGGGACATCTGCCTAGCCGCTTGTCCTGTGTGGTCCAGGAGATGCATAGATGTCAGGGCCACCACATCCCAGTGACCCCACAGGAACCTGGGGCAGCTCAACCAGCCCCACAGGCCTTAATGCCCAGCTTGGAAGCAGGAACACAAAGGGGCAGGGGGCAGGCGCAGGGGTAGGGGGATCTGTTATTGTTTCCAGTTCACAAGCAGCACCCATATTTGCAGGCACCTGGCTGTACAGGTGTGACACCCAGTATGCAGAGTGAAGGCAGACCCACCCAAAGCCTCTGAGAACCAAAGCCCTGGCCACAGAAAGCACACAGCACTGGAACAGCTTCAGGCCAGCCCACCTGTCTCCAGCACAAGGACAGTTCTCAGGTCTCTATGTCTGTCCTGGCACTTCTGGCCTCCAGATGAAAGGTATCACTTTGGTCCATCTCAATGTGGTATTCAGATTGTTCCAGGTTTGTTTTTATTGTGAGCTCATCTCCAGGCCTCATGGCCAGGTGCACTCCTCCCCTACCTCTCCATCCACCTTGATCACAGGCTCAGGTATCCCAAAAACTTAGACTCTGCTTGCTCAAGCACAGAGTTTTCTAGAAGAGACCAACACCTTCAACAGTGACACATCACAATTCTGCTGCTTCCTGCCACACAGGTAGCACTTGCTTCTCTCAAAAAAAGAATAAAAAAAACCCCAAAGTCAAGCCCCTGAAACCTGGCCTACCCACAGCCTCACCCTGCCCATATAGCCTTGGAGGGATCTTCTGTCCAGAACCTCACGTGGGTCCCTACATCTGACACTGGGAAGAGGACTGGCATGGTCAGAGGCGGCCTTGCTGTCCCTACGAGGGGCTCCTCCCCTCCTGCAACCCCCACTGGCCACCTGGCCACTTCCCTGCTCATAGCCACTTCCTGGCTCTCCTGGTGTCTCCTCTCTATACAGAAGCCTCTTCCCACAGATCTCCGACTCTGTCCTGCAGAGTGGGGTCAGCCCTATCTTTCACATAGGCCCCAAGTGGCTTTCTCAGTCCTGACAATGTTCACCCACAAAACACTTCCAGAACCGGACTTAGCACCAAGTTCTGGAACATCACAGCCTCGTGCTGCTCGGGGGCATGAGTCAGCCTCGGCTCCCATCCAAATTCCACACCCAAACATTCAGGCCGGTTTATGCAACAGTCTGAAGGGTAAAAGCCCCCTCTCATGAGTTACAACCAAATCTGAGGGACCAGGACCCTGCTGTGCTCCCCCATGCACACTTCCTGAGGACAAACCCTGTTCTGCCAGGTCAGACACACCAGGATCTAACAGGACCCACAGACTAACTGCAGGCTCCACTTTAAGAGGTTTTGGTGGAAAAGGCTGGTCTAGGTTTCAAAGATGGTCTAGGTTCAAGCTGCAACCACCCCCCAACTTCTCTCAGGGGGCTATCTGCAAGGACTCCAGGAGTTCCCCAAGCAAGGGTGGCATGGCAGAGGTACCTCATCCATGCCACAGACATGGTGTGTTTTCACAATACGAGCAGAGGAAGGACAGGAGAACCCCAAAGAGGTCTGGTGAGCCCAGAGAGTGGTCCTGCAGCCACTGCACAGTATACCCACACTGCCCCCAGGTCACTCACCAGTCAGCACATGCAAGTCCAGCACTCGGTGCCCATTCATCAGCTCATACTGGAAGCCAGTGGCCCTCCTGCTGATGTCCTGCTGGGGCGTCGCCTCTACAAAGAGGCCGCCCTGCTCCAGGCTGAAGCACTGCACCTGACCAGGCTCACTGTCTCCATCCCGCACCAGCAGTCTCAGTTCTCCAGTTTTTTCCAGATAAATATTAGACCCCGAGGAGTCCCTGAAGGGCTTGATGCACACGGTCAGGTGTCGGGAGGGCGAGAAGGTGTTAGGCCGCAGGTTCACAATGAGCGCACCCGTCGGGTACATCCACTCCACGGAGCCGGCCGAGCAGCGCAGGTACACCTGCTCCACCTCCTTCCTGTGCGCCTCATGGGTCAGCCCGCTGTGGGAAGGGACAGAGTCAGCCAGAGCTGGGAGCCCAGGCTCCCAGCACCCACATGTCTGTGAGTGCAATTCCACTGTAACTGCCCATGTGCTCACCCACTGCCCGCTCCGGTGCCCACAGCCCCCTAGGGTGCAAGGTAGGGTCCCTCTTCCGGGAGGAGGGGGCGGCTGCCCAGTGACAGTCACTTCCGCACACCCCTCCTCCCAGATCCTCCCAGCAAGCCTGCGCTAGCACTGGGGAGGCCCACAGTTCTGACAGACAGCCCCGGTGGCCTGGGTGTCCCATACCCTCACGGCACCCTGGACTGAAGCTTTGATCTCAAGTGTCAGTGCATCCCTGACAGGGACACAGAGGTTCTGGGAACAGTGAGAAAGAGAATCAAAGAACTGCTGGGTGCTTTTGAACCCCAAGGAACACCAAAGGACTTTGGCACCAACCCCTGTTGAAACAGGAGGCCTAGGAGGTCAGGGGAAGGACAGTGCAGAGCCTATGGACATGGGTGGGGACCAGCCCCAGGCACAGGGGTACTGTGGGTGCAGCCAAGCCTTCCTAGCAAGCTGGAGCTGTCAGCCATGGGGGTGAGCACCATCTTCCCACACCTAACACACTCAGTGGTGGTCAGGCATAAATATTTGTATTTCCCTTCAGGTGATGACCATTTTTTTCATTCATTTACAAACCTAAAGTCCCCGCACTGCTTCAAAATTTCAAAAATAAATTCAAATACCATTAAAGCAAGATCCAGTAAAAGCGCAAAAGACACATCCTCCCTCGGGTAGAGGTCATGGCTGAGGGACAAAGACCAAGGGGAACCCCTGAAGTAAAAGGATGATCTTGCTCCTCCTACGCTCTGAATAGGAAAAAAATACATAGTGTGTGTTTTTTCATACTTCGCTCACTCCTGCTGAGGTAGGTCCTGAGAAAGACAGTTGTTTTCAAGAAATTGAAACCACCAAAAACGTTGAAGTTTCTGCTGCTCAAACTTTAATGTAAATGCCAGCCTGTCGCTCATGATTACATCATAACCACAAGTGGGCCTGGAAGTATACCAGTGACTTCAGCTAAGTGTTTTATTACATGAAATTCGGTTCTGATCAGATCTCAGGTTCACCCACATTCTTAAGATTTTTATGTGAAATAAGCAACACTATATCCAGAGCCTGGGCCTGAGTGAGTTACCAGAAACATTCTGCAGAGGAGAAAATGTATACCATATGGTTCACATTCACTGCTGATGACTCACGTTCTGGGCCCCCAAAACCTCACGCCTGAGATGAGGTTGGCTGCAGGCTGGCTGCTCAGTCACCCTGCCGACCACATCAGAAGAAAGCATAGAGGTTGAACCCCCTTGACCTGCTCCCCACCCCCACAAGGCCCTGGGTCATAAGCAGCCAGCCTGGCTGCAGATGTTGGCAGAGCCCCACACGCTGAACAAACTGACAAAATTACAGGCAATAAAACTCACACAAGCTCACCTGACACCTATGAGGGATGGGTATAATTATAGTGCTGGGTGAAAATTAAACTAAATGGTGAGTGGCTGCCATACATGCCTGTAATCAGCTCTGTCCTTCTACACCCAAAACCTGATTGCCCAGTCCATCCTCCCATTGAGGAGCACCTGACACTTGTCCCCGCACAGGCAAGATTCTCAACTCTCTCTCTCCAATATGAACCATCCAGGCTGAGGTTCTGCCTCCCCCTTGGAGGCTAGTGCATACAGACCCACACACCTCCAACAGCACCACATTCACCTGGTGGGGAGAGGAACAGGACCAGCCTGCTACATACAACTCCAGCCATGTGTAGGCAGCCAAGTCCCCAGGCCCAGGCAGAGAAGGATGTGGCCATCATATCCCCCAGGGCAGCCAACATGGGTCCTCCAAAAGGAAGCAAAACTCAGGTGGGCCTCTGAGAAATGAGGCACCTGTCTCCTCACCTTTGTTGATATCTTCAGCAGCCCAGAGAAGAGCCCACACCCTGCCCAGGACCAGCAGTTGAAGCGTCTCACTTCCTAAAACATCAAGATCAACAGGAACCCAACGAGGTGCTCAGCACGGGAGTACTCCTATTAAAATCTACATTGTGTGATGGCGAGACCCCCATTAAGACAGCCACAGAGGAAAGGAAAACCAAGGGCCCCTCAGCCTGAGACTCACAGGTCTTTGGTGGAGTCAAACCCTGGGCTGTACTGGTTCCAGTCTGAATACCTGATTCCCCAAATCTCGCAACTCAAATATCCAGCACCACAGCAAACCTGAAAAACGTATCTCTTCATACAAAGTTTCTATAACTGGAAATGCGAACATACCATTACCAGTTACCACTAATCATATTTTACCATCTTCACAAGATGCAGGTGACACACTAAGCACTGCTGTGAGGAAGCTACTGGATGCAGGCAGAACTGTCCTTCTAGTCTGCCTCATGGAGCTGACAAGGCTGATTTGATTACAGATTAATTATGCTGAATTAATGCTTTAAAAGAACCTCAGCAATGATATCCAGGTGTCCATGTGGACAAGCCTGTGTGCTTTTATGGAAGGGAAGGTAAATCCCAGGTTGGTATAGTGCAAAGCATCAGCAAGAGGCCAGTTCACGCACCGCTCCCAGTACATCCACGTGAGCCTAGAGCCAGCAGGACAACATGGTGGTCTCTGGTTTACTGAAGTCAGAAAGAGCTTCAGAGCCAGGGTGAAAACAAAAGGCTCTGCTGACAAGTTGTGCTTTTCATTTCCCCACCTGGTAAGAGGCAGTCCAGGTGTGACTGCACCTGCCATGCCCCTGGTTGATGGCAGTGGGAAAGTTCAGGGTCCATCTTTATGGCCCTGGCTCATAAAGATGGGGCGCTGGTCCTGCCCTTCCACAGACAGAGGCACTGCAAAGTCTCCATCGTGATTGCTTGGAAACACCTCAAAGTGTTAGTGCATCAAATGTGAGTGGCCAGTGTCAGAGAGCTACTCCCTTCCTATCAGGACCAGAATCTGGCATATCTCCGCTCCCTCCACCCAGGGCTGTCTTTACAGCAGCTCCCTCCACCCAGGGCTGTCTTTACAGCAGCTCCTAAATCATAAACGCTGTTGAGTTAGCCACAAAGCAGCCCCCTGACAGTGAGTCAGCTGGGGTAGAGGTGTACTCATCAGTGGGGCCAGGCCCTAAGGCAAGGAGCCTTCTTGGTGCTGCAAATGACATCCAAGCTCCCACAGCCCAGGCAGCTGCTCTCTGCCCAGCCGGCTCTGCCTTCCGGAGAGTCGTGGGAGGTGGGGTGGGGCGCTCCGGGCTTCTCCAGGCTGACAGAGGGATGTGCAGCCACCTGGGGCACACCCCTGCCACTGCACTGCTGGAGCAGTTACTGGCCCGCCCCTGAGCTTCGGGGAAGGGGTCCTTGCAAGCACAGTGCTCTCTGAAACTTGGAAAGGCCGTCAGCTCACAGGAAACTCAGGCTCACAGGACAGGGACTGCGTTTGTTTTTGATCTGTTGGAGCAGGACACCCCAAGGCCTTGGGTTAGGTGCTGATTCACCAGCGGAGCTTCGAACAGGGACCTTAATTACTGTGGCAGCGGAGAGGGCAGCCCCAGCAGAGGCGTCAGCGTCAGGGGCTGCAGGCCAGCTCTGTGCTGGCGCCAGCATTCCCGAGGCCAACCCTCCCCCAGAGCTCCATCCGCCCTCAGCTTGTCCTGCTCGCAGGGAGGGGGGCTCTGCGCGGAGGGAGCTGAAAACTCCCCGAGAGGTGGACAGTGCCCAGATCGCAGGAGCTGGGCTCAATCCTTCCATCCACTTCCCCCACACCCGTTGGCAGGAGCCCTCTGGGGGGAGTGAATGTGGTCACTGTGGTTTCTCAGAACTGGGTGCTGTGAGTGTCCAAGATGACCAGAAATGCCCAGCTGACGCAGAACCACCCCCCCCCGCTCACCTCCCACCCTTCTCGGAAAGCTGGCTGCACCCAAACCACCCGTGACAGAGCCAGCGCCGCCCCCGCCCCGGTGTGAGTCGTCCAGGCTGCAGTCTGCCCTTGGAACCAAGCTAGGGTGCGGTGGGCACCCGCCCGTGGGGACATTCAAACAGGCCCGAGGGCACCCCCAGCGTGTCCGCGCACAAACTGCTAAAGTGGCAACGTCTGAGGCACAAAAGTGGCCCTCGAAGGGCAGGGACCCTGCGCCCTGGGCGCCTGGATCCCCGGCACCCCGCCCGCGCACACTCGGGTCTTGAGACTTGCGCTCCTTTCTGCTGTCACATTTCAGTTAAAGAAAAGAAGTGCCGGGCTGCCACCGCGGCGGGGAGGAGGGGTCGCGGGACCCGGCGCGGTGGCCAAGGGCGGCCTGACCTTCACGGAGGGGTGGGATGGAAGGGGTTGGGCCGCGCTCGCTAGCGCGCAGGTGTCCGCCCCGCGGCCCGCTGCCCGGGACCGAGACAGGGACAGCGCGCGGCCGGGAACCGGGGAAGCCCGCGCAGCCGCCCGAGGTCCACCGACCGGCCGCCCAGGGGACGCGGACGCCGGGCTCTTTTGTTCCGCGGCCGGGCAGGGCGGAGGCACTGGGCCAGGATCGCGCTGCGGACTCACCTCCCCTTCCAGCTGCACAGGTCGCTGGAGTACTGCGCGCTCGCGCAG